TTTTTGGCTGGGACTACAGGCTTACACCACCATGCCCAGCTAATTTTTTTTACTAGAGTCGGAGTTTCACCGTGTTGGCCAAGGCTAGTCTCGAACTCCTGACCTCAAGTGATCCGCCTGCCTCAGCTTCCCAAAGTGCTGGGATTACAAGTGTGAGCCACCACGACTGTCCCTGGATTAGGAATCTTCAGCCTATATGTTTGAGTTCCTGTCTTTAGTTCTTTTGGATGTATATCTTCATTACTACCATTTTTTTTTTAAAAGATAGGATTTTGCTCTGTTACCCAGGTGAAGTGCAGTGGCGTAATCATGGCTCACTGCAGCCTCTGCCTCCCATGCTGAAGCTGTCCTCCTACCTTAGCCTCCCAAGTGGCTGAGGCTACAGGCACGTACCACCAGGCTAAGTTTTTAACATTTTTTGTAGAGATGGGATCTCACTATGTTGTCCAGATTGGTCTCAAATTCCTGGGCTGAAGTGATTCTCCTCCCTTCCAGAGTGCAGGAATTACAGATGTGAGCCATCATGTCCAGCCACATTACTACTCTTGTTTGGGTTTTTTATTTGTTTGTGTTGTGGGCTTGTGTTTTTGTTTGTTTGTTTGCTTTTTCTTATTTATTTCTTTAATTTTTTTTAAAGATGAGACTTTGGGAGGCTGGGGTAGGTGGATCACTGGAGGTCAGGAGTTTGAGACCTTCCTTGCCAATATGGTTGAAACCCTGTCTACTAAAAAAAAAAAAAAAAAAAAAAAAAAATCAAGGCTCAGCGCAGTGGCTCACTCCTGTAATCCCAGCACTTTGGGAGGCTGAGGTAGGTGGATCACCTGAGGTGAGGCGTTCGAGACCAGCCTGGACAACATGGTGAAACCTTGTCTCTACTAATAATCCAAAAATTAGCTGGGTGACGTGGCACACACCTGTAATCGCAGCTACTCAGAAGGCTGAGGCAGGAGAATGGCTTGAACACAGGAAGTGGAGATTGTGGTGAGCCGAGATTGTGCCATTGCACTCTAGCCTGGGTGACGAGCAAAACTCCATCTCAAAAAAAAAAAAAGAGCAAAAATTAGCCAAATGTGGTGGTGTGTGCCTATAATACCAGCTACTTGGGAGGCTGAAGTGGGAGAATCTCTTTTTTTTTTTTAAGATGGGGTTTCACCATGATGGCCAGACTGGTCTTGAACTCCTGACCTCAGGTGATCCACCCACCTCGACCTCCCAAAGTGTGAGGATTACAGGCGTGAGCCACCGCGCCGGGCCAGAGAATCTCTTGAACCTGGGAAGGCAGAGGTTTCAGTGAGCCAACTCAAAAAATAAAAATTGGTGTGGTGGTGTGCACCACCACACCCAGCTGTTTTTCTATTTTTAGTAGAGATGGGGTTTCTCCATGTTGGTCAGGCTGGTCTCGAACTCGCCATCTGAGGTGATCCGCCTGCCTCAGCCTCCCAAGGTGCTGGGATTATAGGCATGTGCCACCATGCCCAGCCAAATTTTGTATTTTTAGTAGAGATGGGCTTCACCATGTTGGCCAGGCTGGTCTCAAACTCCGGGACTCAAGTGATCCACCCACCTTGGCTTTCTAAAGTGCTGGGATTACAGCAGTAAGCCAGCATGTCTGGCTGATGTTTCTTGTTATTTTTTCTTTTTTCTCTCTTTTTTTTTTTTT